AAATAGCTAAAACTAAAAACAAACTAAAAACTACTTCCAAAAACATTCAGCTTTGATATTAATGAGTTTTTTGGGTTCATTGAGAACATGGTTGTTGTTCAATAATAAATTATTCCTCAAAAATACAACTTGCCTAATAATTCTGCACTCCCTGTAGGAGCTACAGCCAATTAGCCAACGATGTCTACTATCCATGCACATATGTTGTGCACATATTCCCTGGTCACTTTATTAGGTATATCTGTTCACCTGCTAATTAATGCAAATTTCTACTCAGCTATTTACACGGCTGCATCTCAATGCATTTAACTGTGTAGACATGGTCAAAAGAACCTTCAGAAATTTAAACAGAGGATAATAGGGAAGAAACATGACTTTGAACAAATGGTTATTGATGCCAGACAGGCTGGTTTTGAGTATTTCAGAAAGTGGTGATGTACCGGGTTTTTCCTTCACAACCATCTCTAGAATTTACATAAAATGGTCAGTGAAAATGCGTTATTGATACCAGGGGTATGAGAACATTGGGTATAGCAGCAGAAGACCACTGGATTGCCACTCCTGCTAGCTAAGAATAGTTTACACAAGATCACTAAAATTGGACAATAGAAAATCATAAAAACATTGCCTTTTCTGATATGTCTTCATTTCTACTGCTACATGCATATTGTTGGGTCAGAACCTATATGCGTTCATGGCATAAATACCATGAACGCATTGATCCATCGGACCCTATTCACGCTTCGCCATTCCAAAGCATGAAAACGATGTGCATGCAGAAGTTGCAGTAAATTACCGCAACAGCAGAGGGAGATATTTTATTTCAAGCCAACATGAAAATAACCAGGAAAGTGCTAGACAGACATTATTCCCCATTTGCATGTATATAGATATTAGCCACCCATCTTATTCATTTCTGATGATTAAGAACCCTGAAATTACTTCTTGTCTTTAATATATTATCTCCCCCTGCTGGTAATGCAACTTCTGCATGTGTGTCCATTTCACATTTTGGAGAGGCAAAGCGTGAAATAGACACAGTGGACCGGCGTGTCTATTACACATTTTGGTGTGATATCAGGTTGCTTTATGACCACCCCATGTCCCAAAGTTCAAATGATTTGGAACTGGTTTCCTCAACATGAAGATTTATGTGGTCTACTTAAACTGCCTCCACAGTAGAGCCCAACTGATATAGGATTTGTAAGACTGACACTGATATTTGGACACTTCACACAAACACACAACACAAGTAGATAGGTTATCATTTATTGACTTATTTATTTATTTACTTGTTTACACTTTACAAACAAATGTGCTGCCAACAAGGAAAAACTATGCAACATCAACACTCATAACATGATTGAAGAGTCTTTCTCCCATCTCTTCTTTACTTTTACTTTTTCATTCATAATCTGTTATAAAAGCAGATACTAATCGATCAGCAAATAGCTCATATTGGTAGATAAAATCAACTTGCCAATATATTGGTCAGGCTCTCTTCTACAATCTAAAGATTTCAGTCAAGTCGAGCACTTTTGCGATGTGGTCGAATTAAAAAATTAACATCACACAGATGTGCACTAACTGTGTGATGATATCATGTCATTATGGACCTAAATCTCTGAGAATTGTTTCCAGCACCTTGTTGAATCTATGCCACAGTTCTGAGTTCCAAAGGTGGGTAGAACCTGGTACTAGCAATGTGTAACTAAGAAAAGGTGTATGGTTTGTACAATCATGCAGAAATGAGGGTGTTGCCTAATTTTCTCTGACACTGTTCTCTAACTGCAGGTAAAGCAGGATCATACCTCTGGAAAAACTTTGCATGTGTGTGTATATCTGTGGATTAGTGAGATAGCGAGCTGTTCAAAGGTTCAGTGTGTTTTCCAGGTATACTAAGTTTTAGCTGCCTGTTGCTCAAGCTTAAAAACATAAAGACCAACAGGCTCTTTTTTTTAATTAAAAATGTGCAATGGTGGATTTCTATCCAGCAGAGCAGTAAGTCTGTATAAGTTATTTTTGTCTGTTTCTAAATGCAAGAGAGTACGTTTTGCAGCTTTTTTCTGTATGTTTGTGTGTCTCTTCTAAATATAAAATTGAATTTGTGGAGGTGTTAGTGATTTGAAAATGTTATGAACTGCACTATAATTGCCAAAAATATAGTACTGTGTGTGTACCCCTCTCCATGTAACTACATTTAAAAATAAAATATGTGCGATTGCAAAGTGTTAAATGAGTAATAAAAAAATCAATATCCAGTTATTCACAACAAACAAAGCCTAGTGATTGTAAATAGTGTTTAAACTGTTTAGATCAATATGTAATATGGACACACCATTAACGCATATATAGACCAACCAGCTAACCTGACTATCACAGCATATAACAGTAGAACCACGATCATAATAGATCTCCTATTGGGTTTGGACCTAATTGGCTCGTCCATCCTGCCAGTAATTGTGTGCGTCCCTTGAGTGTTGATGTATTTGACATGCTGGGAAAGGGGTTTCGGGAGAGAGAGAGACTGTAAGCGAGTTGGATAAAGTCTCAGAGATCCAATACAATTAAGTGATTTACTTACAGGGATGTTTGTGACCCTGATATAAAATCTGTGAGACGTACAAGAAGAACCCTGTAGCTGAGTTAGAGCTTGTGGATGGGCATCCTTTTGGGATATTAAAGGGAATACACCTCCGCTTTTTCTTGAAGGAGTCCATGTTTACACTATTCGGAGGCCATTTCAAGCATCCAGTTAGTAAGCTCTATGTTCTGCTGAAAATCTAAACTATTTATATTTCGTCTTCGGTTGCTTAGATGTCAGATGGCGCCACACGCAAAGGTCAGATGTGCTGTTTTTTGGGGCCCGACTGAGTATCATCAAGTGCTCCATGACATTCTGGGTCTGAGCTGCGTCTTCTATACACAATGATTAAAAAGTGTTTATAGAGCTTGGAATATATGTGGTTTCATTTCTGCACCTACACATTTATGAAGTTGCACTTTGCAAGATGCATAAAGTCATGTAAGACTTGATTAGTAAAAAAAAAAAAAGTCACTTTTTAAAGTGTATTTCTGAAGTGGCAAGCCTCATTCATTCAGCCATATAATGTACAGGTAATACTATACACCATGAAATTAAATGTTCCTCCAGAGCATGACAAGGCTTAAACCATACAAGACTGCAAACAGAATTACAAAAGGTACACAGCATTATAAAAATATAAATATATAAATACAGTATAAATACATACAGACAAAAAAATTACATTAAAATTCCTTACAGTTTCTACTTTGCAAAACAAAACAACTGCACCACGCCAGTCCGACGTAAGATTTCTCCTCTGAATGACTTTCAAATCTGTCTGATTAATAAAAGACTCTGTGGTTTCACAGCAGCAGCTCCCTGCACCCGAACAACTTTTGTTTGGGTTTGTAATTGGATTTAACAAGCACAAGCTGCGACACAGTGTCATTTCTGTTGACTGCATGTCATTTGAGAGCAATGTGTTGAATCTCAACATTTTATTGATCGAACGGCAGCATCGAGTGATTTCCCTTTAGATCTTTATGCGCTTAATCCATTCAAAGTCTGTGCATCACCTCAACGTAAATGTTGCCATGAAATCAAGTCGCTCACAATGCATCTTAAGGAATCTTATGGAATCTGAGCCCTTGTTAGTGTTTTTTTCCCCCGAGTATTAATTCAAATAATCCGTGTGGGGATTAATTTGTGCTTATATTTCTGTATATAACATCCAGGAGATTGCATTCAGAAAATCTGCTTGTGGCCAAACAGCTAGGCTGGACAAGCCTGCATCAGGCAGCTCTGGTCAGACTGTTTTCCACACAAAAGCATCCAGCAGATCAGACACAGGAATGTATAGAATTCAAAATGTGTCAAGGGAATTCAATAACCAGGCTCAGCCTCTATCCATTTAACCTAAGATGGGTTCACTAAGGATTACTGGTTTGGTTTCTATATTAAAGAAGATTTAAATAGTTAATTCTAGTCAAGTGGAGTTGACATGAGCAATTTGCCTTGACAAATAAAGCCTGACAGCATCCCTTTTGATGAAACCACCAATTTGCCAACCAGGTGTTATAACCACCTGACCTATTCAGATATCCATACCTGCTGGGTACAGAGCAGCTGCTGACCAAATGTCAAAGCAGGTTTTTGTTGTTATGGTGGCTTATTAATATTTTCCAGAAGGCAGTCATACTGTTCTTTCATTTCTTTCTCCCCTTTTAGCACTGACTCAATCAAAAGAGATAAGTCTTAAATCAAAATCACCACAATCATTAGCATTATTCAGTTATTTGTTATGCTGTTTATGTGTTAGTTAGAATATGGCAGTAACTCGGAACATACATATAATATACACATCTTTTTTTTTAATATTCACATAGATCATAAAAGGGTAACATAAACTCCATCAAAAGCGCTCTCGAGGCACGCAGGCTTATCAAGAGAGGTTTAGATACATTTTCCACTTTATTTATTTCCTGTTGTTGATAACTTGTGAAAGCTGCTTAGCGATGCTGACACAGGACGGAGTGTGCAGCCTGTACAGCAGTCACCTGCGCAGCACGAAGCTTGTGCCGAGAACACGCTGCCTCTGAAAACCCAGCACTAATTACAAATTGGAAAGCACGAACAGATCTGAAATCAGCGCTTCGCGGGTTGGGAAGGGCACCGTGACACGGACACATCTCAAGTCTGAAACTAGGGTATAACTCACTTATAGCCCCCCAGCCACCCACCCTTTCTTGGGGTGGTTAAAACTGTCTTATATTAACGCCCAGTCAGGATCGATAAGGTAAACAGTAGACCTGTCATACAAATAAAACAGTGCACAGCCGCTTGCGCTACCTGCAGTGTTATTTAATGTATGTATGTATCTTTGAGCGATATGTCATAGATTATAAACTACCCTGGATTATCTTATTTTTTCTCAAGTTTAATACATCACACAGAGAAAACAGAACTGTCTTACCTTCACGCCATAAGTTTCAGAATCTTTGCTTTCACAGGAAGCAGCTGTTAAATCCAAGATCATCCACAGTTAGCTCCCACTGTATCCTTTATTTGCTTTACTCATTGCTTACTCTTTAAAAAAACGAACCGTCTCTTCGCGTCGTCTCTGGTGCGAGGCATTAGTTCAAGCTAGTAGGTTAAAAAAAATAAACTACTGGGAGCCAAAATACATAGCCTAACAGTGAACGAATGAATTAAACAACACCTAAGATCACTTGCTGTTTTCCGGCCGTTTAATTAAACCCTCGAGGTTTATTTTATTTTATAAATTTTTAGATCAGTTCTGATCTTGAGAGAGCGGAGAAGCAGAAGCGGAAACTGTGCGGTGCCCTTCTGGTGTCCAGGAGCTTTACGCGGAGAGCTAAGTTACCTTCTGCACTGACGGAGACGGGAGACGCGGCGGCTGTGAAGAACTGTGGAAAATCAAGGCGGGGTTACATCTGTTTAATTCCTAAGAGGGACGCGTGTTTTTTTTTTTGTTTGTTTTTTTGTAATGTCACCGGTGTAAGTGAAACCTTATTCCCTTATGTTTGCCTCAGATTTTCCACAGTTCTATCTTCTCTCCGTGGCACGGGCTGTGCTTTTTGTGTAATAAGTAAATAATGGAAAATGGCAGTGTGTGATTTAAAAAAAAATTGGACATCTTTTGATCACTAAATAAACAGTTGGTTGATAAGTGGGCACATGCTAGGATGTGAGTTGGTGGATCAGCACAAGCAGTGAAAAATGGTAATGAAAGAAATGAGCGAACACATGGACTTACAAATCCATCCCACGCATTCCTCATTATCATTTTCTTAGATAATGATCTTTATTATTTATATATGTATTTTTTTTCATCTATTGCCAAACTTTGTCATTATTGTTAATTGCTGGCATTTCTTAGGACTCTGTTGGCTTTCATCCCAGCAATATTACACAGTGAATGCTACCAAGTAAAAGGACAGGAAGCAAACTGTTTTGTTTGTCCTTGGGACAAGTAATAAGGAAAGAATGTACAATTTCATATTACACCACTGAGATTTATTTGCACCTGCTGGTTCCATTCAGTACAAATGACACAAACCACCTTCCATCAGTGTGTGCATATATAGGGAAGTCCAAACCAGAAATATAAATGTTACATTGTTAAATTCTCCCAATTCTTTTTGATCTTTGGGCTGAAGGAAGGACAATACTCGGTGTATAAATGCTCAATCAACAATCTTTTATTCCATACAATTCAACACTTTATGAGCATAAACCATCCGGAGAGGAGATGAGCGCGGGAGGGTGTCCGCCTGATCTCGAAGTGTCTGAGCATTCCACACATTCTTATAGCTTAAGCTCCCCCTCCACTTAGTCATAAAACCTAAACATCCACATTCTTTCTCTCTCTCAGTGAGCCTAAGTTATGACCTTGGCTTCTGTGCAGTATGTTCTGTTCTTTGCTAATCAGACAAATAAGGCCATGACTCTCTGAAAACAGTATTTCTTATAACTCAGCAGCATAATGCATCATACAACAATATCATTCATTCACAATGAATCAGCAGTCTAATGTAATAGAAATCAGTTTAACAAATGTAATAGTTATCACCTTCTAATTCAGGAGAATAATCCAAACTAAAACTACATAATAATTTCACAATCTTTAATTAGGGGTCTAACATGGCATAAGATAATATAATAATCTCACAACATCAGGATCAATTTTTGACTCTTTGTAAGTGGCATTGGACTGTCGCTCTCTTTTAATGACTGCGTGTGTGTGTTAGACAAAACCTCCTAGAAAGAAACATAGTTGTTGATGATCCATTGATGATCCATTTATTCATTATTTTACAACTAGAAATGCAATGTTTTGGCACTTTAGGAAGTACATGAATAGTTATATTAAGTGCAGTCCTGCCCAACTGCAGCACTTAAAATCTAGCTTTTATATCATCTTGCTCTCTACCCTTTACACATGTGACTTAAATAAGAACTTCCATTTAAGCCAGACCTGGATAATATATTCATATCACATTTGACATCGAAATAAAATATTAATTACAGCCTGTAGGCACAGAAATACATTAAAAAAGGAGGAAGTAGAATAAGTCCAACAGTATGTTATACTTGGTGGCAGACGAATCACCTACAGTTTTTAAATATGTTTTTCTAAATGAATTCCTCATTATGCATGCTTTGACTTGGGAATTCTCACGTGCAGTTTTCCTAAGTGGACTTCTTCACTATTAACACTGTTTGAATGCACAAATTTTATCTTTAATGAAGCTTGCCTCGTTTTTTTCACAGGGTGACATTTCTTTGCATTGATTAGCAAACCTGACATTTTGCAAATATATTTCAAGTGCACCAAGAAGATACATTTAATGTTTAACATCAAGCTTTATGAATGCTTTCACATGGTTCCAAAAGTAATCACTTTGCAAGTGTGTGCATATTTCACACACATTCAAGAGAAAAAGGAAATGGCAAACCACTACCAGATAGATGTTTTCCCTTTACTGCGAATGTAATTAAAATAATGTTTTGGTTGTATTGCTTCTGTGGGCAGTTGAGCTGAGTGAAAAGTTTAGAAACGTCATCTACATACTCAGTTATAAGAAATAAGTAACTGAAGTGTGACTAAAACATGGCAACATGGCTGAAAGAACACAGACAAAGCAACAAAAAAAGCTAGATTACAACACCCCAAATCTTCACAGCGGATGAAATGTCACATATTAGTGACACAACCAGAGCATTAAAATTCTCCTCTGTTGGAGGCAGCTCTCACAAGGAGCAGCTTTTTTTTTTGCTTTTGCACTCTTGTGGGGACGTCTGTACCGAGGCAGATAGCCATTTTTGGATTTATGTCTGAATCACACATAAACACAGACACAAACAAGCACTTATAAACTCATACTGTGCACACAAAATATGCACCCCCCCCCAGGCTATCTGTGGGAGGCGCAAACACATCTAACTGCTAACTGCCATAAGGTAACGCTGGAGCCTGATGGTGCCTGATACGGTCTCTATTAATTTGTGACGATGAGTGGATGTCAGCAGATCGCAAAAATAAATGACAACAACTTTGACGCCCCCCAAATCAGAGTAATTTACAAACCAGTTTCACCCACATGTTACGCTAATGAACATCTCACAACCCACAAAAGGATTTCTTCCAGACAAGAGAACCACAAAGCACAATCTTAATGTCATGGGGCTAAGTTCTCGTCTCCAACTAGCACGCATTTTCAGCCTTGAATGGAGCTTGGAGAAATATTGTACATTCTAGACACATGCACGCCTTTCTAAGCCTGGCCAAGCACAGAGCCACCGCCAGTGAGCAGATGCTGGCTTTAGGTGAGCTGTGGAAAAAATACATTGACCTGGCATGAAGGAGGGCCCTACTGTGACAGAAAAGACGTTCAGTCCCTATTTAACTCACATGAGCACAAAAAGCATGCACATATTTCCCATTCACTAGTCCTGAAAATGAATCATATTTTACACACCGGCAGTCAATGCTTTAAACTTGAACTCATCCTATAAAGAATTTATATGGTGTGACACTGGTGTGACATTGTGTGCTTGTTTCTGAGCTTTTTCCCTGATATAACACTTGCACTATACCCTGTCACACTGTATGCTGAGTGAGACAGAGTGACAAAGAGGGAGACAGTGTTGGCATGACTACCTGTTTGGGAGATAATAGTGACAGCAATTGCTCTGCAGAAAGGACTTAAGGCATGATGAGGAAGCATGAGATTAGAGATATCCAGATATAGGAAATGTGCTCGCAGCAGTAGGGTTGAGGCATGTAAATTACAGAAGTTAATATTCTGTTTTCAACATATCCCACAGTATGACTGAAAGCAATAATACCTTCATGCAATCCACTGCCAGACATAACTGAAAACACAAACTTTGGATTTGCATTGTGTATTTCTTTATGATGATGAAGACCGATAATGCAATTATGTTCATTAACAAGCGCATCAAATATGCATTAACTTGCAGCCATAATGAATCCAAAACATGGACATTGCCACTTCCGTCTAGGTAACATTTGCTCAGCAGAGTCAAGTTGTTGAAGATTTAATCTTTTTAGTCATGCAAGTAGTCTAACGCCAGAAATGAGGATGTTACATGGTGCACATCTTTGCCCCAGACTAAAATGTATAACAACAAGCATCACTTAAATATGATTTCTTTTGATGATCACTTCATCTTCAGTATTGCAACATGTCAAAATGCAAAATTCATAAGCTCTGATATTTTTGTTTTAGAGCCTAATAGTGTTGTAGAAAAGTCCAGGGCACCCCTCATGTGGAAACATAAATGGAAACACATTTAATTTTAACTAGCTTGAAAGTCAGTGTGATCCCAAACTGCTTCAGTAATGTTGAGGTCCAAGCTCTGGGGAGGCCAATCCATGAGTGATGATGTTCAACTGCGTGTTTTTTTTTATCCAGGTATAGTGCATGACTGTCTGTTTGTGGTTATTCTCATGTTGAAAAATGAAGCGGTTGTCAATGTAATGCTTTCCAGATTGTATTGCATGGTGGATCAAAAACTGATGGCACTTTATTTTGCTCATAATTCCATCAGTTTTGACAAAATCCACAGCATCACTGGTGGAAATGCAGCCCCAAACCACGACAACCATGTTTTACAGATGGCTGCAGACACTCGCTGTTGTACCTCTCTCCTGACCTCATTCATATCACTCAATAGGACCACTGATTCTCGGTGCAGTTCTTGTTTTATCTGGCATAACTCAACTTCTTTCTCCTGGTTTATTGACAGCAAGCTTTCCAATGAGATCATTTCTGGTGATCTTCAGTGAACAGTAAGATGAATCGACTGAAGGGCCAGATGCAAAGCCAACATTTTGTCTCCTGTTTCTCAAGGGCAAAACTTTCAGATTTTATTCATCTGTTGTAGACATTTTTTTAGGCCCGGATATTCATCTTTTGTCCTCCCACTTGTCCAGTTTCTTTAAAACTCTTAAGTACACTCTTCACAAGAAACTGAGTTATGCAAAGTTGTTTTTTTTTGGCTAATAGCTCTTTGAAAACCACCATGCTGCTGCAGAAAATATTATATTATGCCTGTTACACCATGTTATCTTTGGCATTTTTTAGGAATGCAGCTAAAGAATTGTGTGTTTTTGTCACAGGCTGCTGGTAATAAAGTCCCTAATAATACAATGTAAAACTAATACTTTGCTTAATCGCACAAAACCAGTTCATTCCTTGAGTTGGGTGTTTTTTTCATGCTTGAATGATTAATAGGTCAGTGGTGGTTTAATAAAACATTCCTTTGAAAATGGTCAGGTACAAAACTGAAAGGTGGCTCCATAATGTAGCTTAATGCATTCACCTAACAAATGAAGGGTTGCTGGTTCAACAAAAGCTGAAGGCACAAATCCTATTTGGGGTACTTTAGCAA